CAAAGTTCCAAACTCTAAACTGGGCGGTTAAACCAACCTCAAGGTGATATTTTAAACTAAACCGAAAACCCAAAACACTCTAAATGTAACAAAAGGGAGATTTTATTACATTTAGACATTTATTAATTTGTACCACAAATTATTATTTTTTATATGTGTTCAACATGTTTAAATATCGCTTGTTTAATTAACCAACATTTCTAGTGTACAGCGCCTTGTTTGGTTGTAATGCCTTGTGAATGCGCTTTATAAATAAAATTGGATTGGATTGGATTGTAAAAAGATGAACTCTAAACCAAAACGTAATAGCTTATCCAAACGCAAGAAGCTGTTAGCGAAAATGCTAACAGTAGCTTTACCAACGTTAAGTTGCCAAGTTTAAATAAACCAAAAACACCCAGCAGCAAACAGACCAGCTCGGAGGAGAGACTGCTACCACCAAAACAGCTCTCCTAATGTCTGAAAGAAGCTCCTTTATGAAGGGAGAAACGCTCCCGGTGATTTTCTACATCTGCTATAGAGACGGAGCAGCGCATCTGACCCCGGAAGTTGTTGTCCGTTGCCGGGAAACGAAGGCGGGCAAAACAGGAAAGGAACCTAGTAGCGGATGGACTTTGTTCCGGGTCTTCGGTATTTGGCTGAGATGTTAGTGAAGGCGGAGAAGAGGGCGAACTAGAGGAAAAACAGGCAGATTCCACCTCTATTTACAAACTCCTGGGGATGCAACAAGTGGGCGCGGTGCGTCGACTACCGGATCTGACGTCGACGAATTTTTAGAATCGAGCCGTCGACGTCATCGAAGCTTCGCTACAGCCCTAGGTTAATGTTACGTAGATGGAAGTAGGCAGACCGGGTAATATTGTTTATGTGGGACTGGAAGGATAGTGAGGAGTCGAGGATGACACCCAGACTCTTGACCTGAGGGGAGGGGGAAACTAAGGAGTTGTCGACGGGAAGTGTAAAGCTGTGGATTTTGGATAGTAAGGATTTAGTGCCGACAAGTAACATTTCTGTTTTATCACTGTTGAGTTTGAGAAAGTTTGATGTGAACCAGTCTTTGATTTCAGATAAACAATTGGTGAGGGAGGAAGGAGGAAGTGAAGAGGAGGGTTTGGAGGATACATAGAGCTGGGTGTCATCCGCGTAACAATGAAAATGGATGTCAAATTTACGGAAAATATTTCCCAGGGGAAGAAGGTAAGTGATGAAAAGGAGTGGACCGAGAACAGAGCCTTGGGGGACGCCAGTAGTGACAGGGAAGGGACGGGAAGTGAAGGATTTTAGTTGAATAAACTGAGTACGGGCAGAGAGATATGAGATGATGGTATGTATTTCCTGTACTTTCCATGTTATTCAGCTAGGGAGCATCTGCCGCTGTCATGTTGTGGCTCAGAGCCTGCACGGGAAAGAAACCTTTATGGATCCTTGAGATGCCAGTTTCTTCAAGCTACATGCTTGAGATGAACAGAAACCAGGAACAGGCATGTCCAACGGTTTAATCATGCTGTTGTTTGTCATTTGGATTCTTTAAACTGCATGAAAATGTTCAGTAAAACAAGCCCTGTGGGTGTTTGATATAAATTACAGGATAAAAATATCCATCAGGTCCGGTTGATGTTGGTACAGAAATGTAAAGATGTCATCATAACTGTTGTTTTCGGTAACAAAACGATGAATTGATTTCGTTTTTCATGACAAAAACGAGAAGCTGAAAATAGCTCTTTGACTAAAACACGATGAGATTAGATGAAGATTACGACAAAGTGCATTCAGACCGAGTGCAACTACTGACAGACACAACATTTTCTTGATGAAGAGTAGCATTTCAGCTTTGTCACAAGTCTGAGGTCACGAGCTGCGGCACTGAAATGTGCTTGTGCAGACAACATGTATTCACTTTGAGCGTGTTGCAGCTCTTCCATAAAAATCATTTTTGGTCACAAATTCAGAAGTTTCTACAGGATTAAAAAATATTATCGCTGCGTTTTTGGGCTCATAGTTTCGGTGATTTAGGCGTTTCGGCCAAAAACCCAAAATGCACTTTTGGGTAATTTTTGGCCGATATCTTTCAGTGGCCAAATTTTGGTTCATCCTTAAACTGAAGACAAGTTAGGTGACTCCACTAAAGTCCGGCGATTGAACAAATTTATTGAACATTTTTGATAAGTGTTTTTTTTTCTTGTTTACAATTATATTTTTAATGCCTATGAACTTGAGTTGGAAAAGGGTGGAATGCCTTCTCCAGGAGAAGGATGAAGTCCTGCCCCATAAGTATCTCAGGGTCTTATTGACAAGCTGGAGCGTGAGATCGTCCGGTGGATTGGTGCTGCATCTGCAGTGATTCGGCCGTTGTACCGGTCTGTAGTGGTAAAAAAAAAAGAGCTGAGCCAAAAGGCGAAGCTCTCGATTTACCGGTCGATCTACGTTCCTACCCTCACCTATGGTCATGAGCTTTGAGTAGTGACCGAAAGAACGAGATCGCGGATGCAAGCGACCAAAATGAGTTTTCTCAGCAGAGTGGCTGGGCTCTCCCTTAGAGATGGGGTGAGAAGCTCGGTGATCCTGGAGGGGCTCGGGGTAGATCCGCTGCTCCTCCACGCCGAGAGGAGCCGGTTGAGGTGGCTCGGGCATCTGGTCAGGATGCCTCCTGGTGAGGTTTTCCGGGCACGTCCAACTTGGAGGATACCTAAACCCAGGACACGTTGGAGGGACTATTGGGCCATTCCCATCTGTACCGGGTCGGGCCGGGTAGCGTAGGTTGTTTACATATCTGGGTGGTCGGGTATTTTTCCGGGCCAACCAAGGCTCATTCTCAGCCCTCTTCTCGAGGGGGTCTGCTTCAGGCCGACCAGGGCCAACACACCCACTGCTGACAGCAAATTCACACCTTCCATTAGAGCAAGCCTCTGATTGGTGAGTAGAATCAGCCCACATGGGCTTAAGACAAGGATGTGTGGAATCAACCGGGCCAGGCTGGGGCCGACTGGGGCTACCCGGCCCGGGCCGACCCGGTACAGATGGGAATGGCCCATATGTTTCTGCCTGGCCAGAGAACGCCTTGGGATTCCCCCGGAAAAGCTGGCCTACGTAGTTGGGGAGAGGGAAGTCTGGGCCTCTCATCATAGGCTACTGCCCCCACGACCCGACTCCAGATAAGCAGTAGAAAATGGATGGACGCTTATGAACTCGCCTTGCACATGGGACATCACAAACTTCATTGTCAAATCTGCTTTGTCCACACTATGTACATGAACATAATCCACATTAGAAAACTAGAATTATTGTTATTCTAATGATATACGCCAAACACGGTAACAACTAACTCTAGACAGAGTAAACACTTTTGTCATAAATTCATATACTGTTTTGGCCAATAGGTCAGAAGTATCGCCCCCATTGCCAAACCAACTGTGGTGCAGTATGTTGTTTATTAATGCATCAACTAGAACAAATATTCCATTTGTACCAGGGGTGGGCAATATGAACGACATAAGGTAGAAATAGAAACGATATAAAATTGGGTAATGATAAGTTTTTGGCTCTACCGCGATAACACGTGATGTCACTAAAGCCACCTTCAGACAGGCCATGAAAAACGGAAATGTTCCGGACTCTGTCTGTAAGACCTCTGTGTCTGAATACAAACATCCGGATAACGTGTTCTGGAATTTATCCGGACGAAGCCCCTAGTAACAGGTCCGGAATGTTACGGACAGGGTGGCTGCTTCAGACTGGTGAGGTAAAGTTCAATTCAATTCAAGTTTATTTATAAAGCGCCAAATCACGACAAGAGTCGCCTCAAGGCACTTCACATAATAAACATTCCAAATTCACAGTTCATTAAGCCAATGAAAAGGGCTTAAGATGGGCACCCGCGCCAACACTGGAACATCAGATTGGCAGTGGCTGCAAGCATGTAGCAGGAGGAGGAGCATTCTACACTTTTTGGACGTCTTAATCTGCTGCAATATATTTTCCATATGAGGATTTTTTAAAGCATGTCATTTTGACATATATAACCAAAGGACAAAATATATCGCAGTATATATCATAATCACACATGCTTCAGACTATATCGCAATATAGATTTGAGGCCATATCGCCCAGCCCTAATTTGTACCAACAGTTTCTCATGTAGGACACACACACACACACACACACACACACACACACACACACACACACACACACACACACACACACACACACACACACACACATACACACACACACACACACACACACACACACACACACACACCAAAAGCCCTTCCTAGGTATAAAACTCACATGCCAACCTGAATCTGCCTGAGCCTGTGGCTTAAGTTACTAAAGTCTGAGAGTTATCATGTCATCAAACAGTAAAGTCACTCTTGAAGTGACAAACTACTGATGCCAAAAGCAAAATAAACTTTTATGCAAGTGTCATCACCTCAGATTTCTGAAAACCTCACCACATTTTGGATTTCCCTTTAATAATTCCTGCTGGCACACTTGACCAACTGATGTGACGCTCCGAGATAGAAGGAGAAAAAAAACGGAGGGGGAAGTGTGAAAGAGAGGAGGAAGTGAAAATCCCTTAACTGGATTTAGGTGTCCTTGCCTCCATCAGTGGCCTGCTGGCACTGTTGAAGCTGTGCACGGCGACATGGATAATCTACAACCAGAGGCTGTGTGGGAACTGGCTCCTGCAGGAGCAGGAGGATCACATGATACCACTGGAGTCTGTTGAGGGCATCGGCACTGATGGTCACCAGCAATTACAGGGACAAATAAGCTCAAGCCACCTGGCCAATAATCTCCTCCGTTCTGACTACGACTTGGTTAATAAAGATTAGACACTGATCTGATCGATTTAGGTAAAGAGAAGAGAAATTAATTAAATATTAGGTTCAACTTTGATGACAGAATTGTAAACAGAAATCTTAGGTGTGTTCTTGCTGTGTCTTTGTAAATCCATGCTTTCGTTCTTTTTTAAACACAGAAACAGTTTTGTTTACCTGTTTGTAGCTACGGTTTCGCCGACAGCTGCCGGCTTCTTCAGGCTGACGCATGGGTGTAAACAGAAATGCTTTAGTGTCTTATTGTGGTTCAGAAATCAAAAGTAATGACCTTACCGGCTCTTGATGTTTGGTAGGCTTGGTCCTCTTTCCAAAGATACAGTTTAGATCCTTTTCGCTGCGAGAGGACAGGTCCTTTCCTGAAATTAGAAATGATGCACAGATTTTAAAAAGTGTGGTTGTTCAATTTATCCAGGTGTGTCCAATGTGTGGCCCGGGGGCCACTTGCCGCCCTCGGAGTGATTTTGGATGGCCCTCACTGGTTAACTCTCTCCAGGAGGCTGTTGATAAAATATTAAAATATATGAATTTTTATGTTCAAATTTTTACTAATATATATATTTTAGGCCTTTTTTGAGCAGAACAAATAAAAAAAATATATAGAATGTTTGCATTCTTAAAAAAACTATATTTTTGTGGCCTGTGAGGAGTTTTAACTTCACAGTTTTAGCCCTCGTCTTGAAAAAATTGTACATCCCTGATTTAACTGGTTCATCGTTTCGTTGCAAGATTTACGAACAAATTGGCAACGTACAACATTTTAGCATTCTACATTTTATAAAGAAAAAAACCATTTGTGTGTGTTTGTGTGGAATGTGGTCATTGATTAAAGGCTTGCACTGTTCTCTTCATGCTCCAAGGATAAAAAAACAGCAAAGGAAAATGAACGGACCACGAGGCCCGCCGTGCCCTGAAAGTCCCATTTCAATGCCGGGCCTCAAAGACTCCTAAAGCACGCCGTCGCCTGTCTCAAGCCCAAGTCCTGTTCATACAGCTGCATCCTCTTCCTTCAGCGGGACTCTGATAACATTTGGTTATTTATTGCTTTTAGGCCACTATCTCCCCTGTTCTTGACTTTGAACGTCACTGCACATGCAGGTTTAAGAGGTAAGACCATGAAAACTATGCTGAAAACAAAAATAAATGAGGAGGGGTCCCTGTGGAGTTTGTCATCTACTGAACTTGGGTCAAATATGAAGTTAAGCCCCATCTGGCATTTTCTAAAGTCTGAAGAAGGACATGCCCATCCAAACGTTCCTGCTGTAAGGTGAAAAGAGCAGATGAGGTATAGCCCTTCTTTTCTTGGTTTCTTATAAAGGTGGATGAAAGGCATAAAGGAGCATTAAATGTGGACATGCCTCACCTTGAAGGTATGTGGTTGACGACGGTTAGGACTAAATAGGCAGGAATGATCAGAGCCGATAACCAGTCTAGCCAGATTAACAAGCTAACTGGCAGGCAAATTATGGATGATGCCGGGTAATAAAATCAGGAGAAAAAAAAACGGGTACTTAAGAGATCAACAACACTGTTTAGTCTGTAATTATGCTTTAGTTTATGTGGTCAGTTCATTTCACTAGAACATAACCCGACAACACAAAACCTGAACGTGGTTCAGAGAGAGAAGATCTGGAGTTCAATTCTGTCTCAACAAACCCCGGCTGGCCTGACAAGTGATAGATGGAGGCAGCAATTAAAACTGGGTTCATGCTGTGGCGCCCGGACCTCAGCGCCGGAGATTTCTCTACCTCTCTCCACAAACAAAAACCATCAATCTTGACAAAAAGGGAGCCGGCATAAACGGGACATCAATAAAAAAGCAGGACAGTACAGAGGAGGGAGTGGTGCAGATCTAGGAGGTTACAATTCTATTTAAATATGAACTAAACTGAGATTATACATTCAATCTGAATTCAACCTTCGTTTCTCACAGTTAGCAGAAGTATTACCTGACCCTTCCAGCCTCTCGTATAACAAGCTTAACTGTAAATCTGTTACCAAGCCTTTACTTGGCAACAACCTCAGAGAAGAGGGAGTCAGCAGCATCAGAGACGACAGTGGAAGCCTGCAAAGAGGCGTGGTGGATTATACGTTGTCATGTAACGCTGCGGTTTCCCATGGCGATCTATAATCATAAATACAACACAGTGTGGCACAGAGTCTCAATAGGAGGTAATTAAAAGTGAAAATTAAACAGTACGGGACGTCCTGGAGCTGTCACCTATTTTCAGAAGACCGCAAACATTTCCACCATCTAAACATCTCAACACACAATTTTCAAGGCAAGCTAAAGGGAGATGATAAGAAAAGCTCGTCGTCGTCTTTCTCCGCTTATCCGGGTCCGGGTCGCGGGGGCAGCATCCCAACTAGGGAGCTCCAGACCGTCCTCTCCCCGGCCACCTCCACCAGCACCTCCAGCAGGACCCCAAGGCGTTCCCGGACCAGATTGGAGATGTAACCTCTCCAACGTGTCCTGGGTCGACCCGGGGGCCTCCTGCCGGCAGGACATGCCCGAAACACCTCCTCAGGGAGGCGTCCAGGAGGCATCCTGACCAGATGCCCAAACCACCTCAACTGACTCCTTTCGATCCGGAGGAGCAGCGGGTCTACTCCGAGTCCCTCCCGAATGTCCGAGCTCCTCACCCTATCTCTACGGCTGAGCCCGGCCACCCTACGGAGGAAACTCATTTCGGCCGCTTGTATCTGCGATCTCGTTCTTTTGGTCATTACCCAAAGCTCATGACCATAGGTAAGGATTGGGACGTAGATCGACCGGTAAATCGAGAGCCTGGCTTTCTGGATCAGCTCCCTCTTCACCACGACAGATCGGCTCAGCGTCCGCATCACTGCAGACGCCGAACCAATCCGCCTGTTGATCTCCCGATCCCTCCTACCCTCACTCGTGAACAAGACCCCGAGATACTTAAACTCCTCCACTTGAGGTAGGACCTCTCCCCCGACCCGGAGTTGGCAAGCCACCCTTTTCCAGTCGAGAACCATGGTCTCAGATTTGGAGGTGCTGATCCTCATCCCAGCCGCTTCACACTCGGCCGTGAACCTACCCAGCAAGAGCTGAAGGTCAGAGCTTGATGAAGCTAGGAGGACCACATCATTCGCAAAAAGCAGAGACGAGATTCTCCTCCACGACACACTCCACACCACGGCTGCGCCTAGAAATTCTGTCCATAAAAGTGATGAACAGAACCGGTGACAAAGGGCAGCCCTGGCGGAGTCTAACCCTCACCGGGAACAGGTCCGACTTACTATCGGCTATGCGGACCAAACTCACGCTCCTCTGGTAAAGGGACTGAATGGCCCTTAACAGAAAGCCACCCACCCCATACTCCTGGAGCGTCCCCCACAGGGTGCCCCTGGGGACACGGTCATAAGCCTTCTCCAAATCCACAAAGCACATGTGGATTGGTTGGGCAAACTCCCATGCCCCCTCCATCACCCTTGCAAGGGTATAGAGCTGGTCCACGGTCCCACGGCCAGGACGAAAACCACATTGCTTCTCCTCAATCTGAGATTCAACTATCGATCGGACCCTCCTCTCCAGTAGCTTGGAGTAGACCTTTCCAGGGAGGCTGAGGAGTGTGATCCCCCTATAGTTGGAACACACCCTCAGGTCACCCTTCTTAAAGATGGGGACCACCACCCCGATCTGCCACTCCACAGGAACTGCCCCCGATGACCACGCAATGTTGCAGAGACGTGTCAACCACGACAGCCCTACCACATCCATAGCCTTGAGATACTCAGGACGAACCTCATCCTCCCCCGGGGCTCCGCCGCTGTGTAGTTGTTTGACTACCTCAGCAACTTCTGCCCCCGAGATTGGACAGTCCATCCCCAGCTCTCCCGGCTCTGGTTCCTCCTCGGAATGCGCATAGGTGGGATTGAGAAGCTCCTCAAAGTATTCCTTCCACCGTCCGACTATAGCCCCAGTTGACGTCAGCAGCTCCCCATCCCCACTGTAAACAGTGTGAGCGAGTTGCTGCCTTCCTCTCCTGAGGCGCCGGACAGTTTGCCAGAACCTCTTTGGAGCCGATCGATAGTCTTTCTTCATGGCCTCACCAAACTCCTCCCACGCCCGAGATTTTGCCTCGGCAACTGCCACTGCTGCACCCCGCTTGGCTATCTGGTACCTGTCTGCTGCCTCCGGAGACCCACAGACCAGCCACGCCCTGAAGGCCTCCTTCAGCCTGACGGCTCCCTGAACCTCTGGTGTCCACAATTTCACTATTTCAACTTGGTATGGTTGTATTTATAGTCACATATTCACAATCTACATGAATGTACAGTGAGTCAAGAATATAAACCAGCTCAAATAAAGCAGAACAAACAAGTGTCCTCATCTCACGAGTCTCAGGTGTGCCTGAAATGGGTTCATCAGGAATAGTCATTTCAGACTCCTTCCAAATTAAGACCACAAAAACAAATCTGCGAGGGTCTGGAGGAGAGACCGAAGCTCAGTCTTATCTGATGGGGTCATCTAACGGGTCAGAGGAGCTGCTGTTTGCAGCAAATGGAGATACCACATGCCCCAAACAGGAAACAGGAAGTTGCTATTGAATGACGTAAAATACTAAAGGTTCTTCCAGGTGAAACAAAAGTTGAGATCCTTGTTTTTTCAAGTGTGTGAACCTGATGATGTTGATTTGAACTCAGTGACACTTTGTCAAAGATATGCTGAGCTACTAAAGCAAAGGGCAGTCATGATTCCTCATTAAAAAACATGCAATCATGAAACTATCTCCAAGTTATAAGAACTCAGCACTGAATTATGATTCAGCCTTCAGTGGTCCCGAAAACTAAATTCCTCCTAGAGTAGATCAGTGCACTGGCCTTGACCAGCAAATCTTAGCTTCCTGACATGTAAAGGCTAATGAAAAGAAAGGGGAGGGTTATAAATAACCTCCCTGAGCACTCACCGGGTCAACTGACCCAGCACAGAATGACAGAACTCTGATCAGCGTCTGTGGTCTGAGGCGAGGGCACAGGGCTCACTTATGGGTCAAGAGCTCCGTCTGCATGGGTGCATGCTGAAGGTGCTCATGGGCAGAAACACACACACAACTCAAATCATTGTTAGAAACACAACTACTCATCCTGAATCAGTCCCTGGTTTTTAGAAATCTTTTGACGACTGAATTTCCCGTTGCACTGATTAAGTGGTTTATTTAGTTTTTATAGGACGTTTGTCATTTCTAGACCATTACTTCCAACTACAGACGTTAGAAAACACACCCACCTTTGGTGAACTTCATGTAATGGACTCTCTTTTTGGAGGTTTTGGATTTCTCCTCGAGGCTGAAACCTTTCTTCTCCTCTGACGGGGTTTCTACAGAGAAGAAGCCAAAAGCAAAACCAGCATTAACTACTTGTTTAAGTATGTGTGTGTTCTATTTAGAACATGGAAATAATGATTGGTTGGGCATATGCTTTACAAAACGTTGAACTGTAGCACCCTCTGCTGTCCAACAACTCTTAGTAAGTAAAACCATGTGAACCACTTTGAGTCTAACGAAAACATTTTTAAGTTAGTAGAGTGGAGCACAGCTGAGCTGAAACACACCCGACAGATTCAGAAAACTAACTCAGTGTAAACTAGTACATACCATCTGTGGTGTTTTGACCATGGTGACCGTTCAGCTGAGCAAGAAGATCATTGAATTCATCTTGGTGAGCAATCCAGTTGTCCTGCAAACGTAAACGATCTCAGCAACACAAAAAGGAAAATAACTATAGGACAAGATTTTTATTTTCCTGTTATTTTGCAGAAGTATCCAAAAGACCTAAAAGCCAAACAGGAATCAAATGATAAATATATTTTTTTACTTCGATATAAATAAACTTGTCTCTTAACTGTAGTCACCTCGTAACTGGCGTTGGCTCCAAACCCATAGCTGTCATTTTTAACCTTTACTTTGATGTGGTCGGTGGAGCCTTGCTCACTCCTCCCCAGACCCTGAAGATACAGAGAAAAAGGGTTTTCTGACATGATTTCATGTGAGTGAGTTATTTACTTTATTGGGTAACGCAAATTCATATGAAACATTAGAGTCAGACCTTCCATTTTTTTTGTTTTACATAGATTTTACATATTTTATTGGCAGACTGAGACATCCAAAATGTAAAACAGAATCCTACCGGAGGTCATTCATCCTCTCTGCAGTAAGAGTGTATAACTCCTAAGTAGGGCTGGGCGATATGACGGTTTTAGACCGTTTTACGATCTACACATCTGACGGTCTGTCATTTTTGAGAGACCTTTTTTTCACGATTCACAGCTCTGTTGTTGAATTTCTGCCTCTGAATGAAAAGGGAACTTACCTCAGGTGAATGACACGCCTTTGTTTGACCCTTAACCAATCAGAGTGAGTCATAGTAATATATTAATGCCCCGCTTGTTTTCACCTGTGTGTGAACAAACATGGCTTCGGCCGCGGCTGAGAGCGACAACGAGGTTTTCGTTCCAAAGAGGAACGCCTCGTCCATTATATGGAACTGGGTTGGTTTTTCACCAGATGACAAAGAGCAGCGAAACGTCATTTACAAGGAGAGCATCAAGGCAAGCGATGGCAACACCACAAACTTGTTTAATCACTTGAAAAGAAGGCATCCCAAACAATACAATGACAGCCAGCTGGCAACTAAAGCTAAAAAGCCTGCGGCAGCAGCGGCTAGTGCTTCTTCCTGGCAGCAAACGCTAACAGAAACACAGAACTCATTCCTTACGAGAGAGACAGCAGACGATGAAACAGCGTGACTGATGCAGTGACGTACCACTTGGTTAAAGACTTGTGTCCCGTGCGAACAGTAGGAGTGGGATTTAAGAAAATGATAAAAACATTGGATCCGCGCTACGAGTTTTCCAGCCGCAAGTATTTTTCGAACACCGCCATTCCACGCATGTACGCTGAATGCAAAGTGAGAGTTGCAGAAAATATTCAGAATGCGCTGTTTTTTGCTACCACAAGGTCCAGCCGCACATCAGAGCCATATTTGAGCTTAACTATCCACTACATGAGCAGCTGGGAGCTACAAAGTATTTTGAACAAGTTAATGTTTGCACAATACATTTGCAATTGACATGTTTGCACTTTAAATATGTTTACGATTTTAATTTATGTTAAGTTACTTGAAAAACGAGAAAAACTGATTTTTGTAATTGTTTCTCTCAGGGCTTTTATCATCTCTGGTGTGAGTTTAAAATATAAGTATGTTAGCACTGTGCTGATTATCCCTAATATGAATAAATGTTTATTTATTCAACGTTTCTCTTCTTTAATACGCAATTGAAGTTATGCTGTTGTAACCCAGGTTTCAGGATAGTTTTAATTATATTAATATAGTTTGTAGTTGTTTAAAAATAAATTAAACAAATAAAAAAACTTATATTACAGAAATGTTACTTTTATTGATCAGACTTTTAAGACATCAGACTTTTATTTTTGTAAACGGATGTTGTGCGAGCCATGTGATTGGCAACAGCCAACCGGATCGCTCGGTTGCTTAGTCGCAGCTAAGCGAGGGAGATGAGCAGCAACACCCAGAACTACTGCAGCACGCAGAGCTACCGCAGCGAGAGAGAAGGAGAGCTGAAGAGTTAAAAGAAATTGCCTAAGGCGAATTTTCCTTTTGTGACCAAAAATACAGCAAGAAACGTTTTTGATGTTCCAATCTGTTCCAGTTGGACACGTTTTGTAAAGTTGTGAAAAGGACTTGGTGAGTTAAAAGAAATGTATAATTTTAGTTAAGCAAAGATGTGTAATGTAACTATTATTTCATGTAAATGTGGCGCTAAAGTAGTGACTGGGTGAAATGGGGAAGCATGTTATGGTGAGTGCTGGAGGGAGAAGGGCTGTTAATGTAACGGCCGGCGGTTGCCGTTTTCTGTCCGTTTTGAAGGAGCTGCATATTCATCGGCACAAATGAGACAGAAGCTGGGTTTTATTTCAGCACTACCTGGTGCCTCATTTTATTCATGTATGCATATTTTGTTATGCTAGGCCTTTTAGTGTGGGTCGGAAAACAACCTCCTAAACTCGACCGCGGGAACCACGTGAAGAGCTAAGATGGCGGGCCACCCATGGATTCGCGAGCTGAGCCATAGTCGCCAGCAGACCTCCCTCTGCTGAATCAGCCCTGGACTTCACCAACATTGGATAGGTCTTCCAAACACTGGTGGGAGTTGCTTTATTTCTTGTTTCAGGAAGGCACTGAACTCAATAAGAGCCGAACTGTTCTTCAGAATTACCGACAAGGAGACTAGAGACTGTGAACTGCACATGTGTTCAGCCTTTTGCTGGATTATTTTGGTTGTGTAAAGTTTTTTTTGGTTGGTTTTACTTGATTGTGGGAACTTGAATACGGGTAAAAGGGTAAATCTTTTTCTATGCAAGGTTACTTCCATGAAAGGGTTATACCTGCGAAAAAATTTATTAACGTGGGTCAAAGAGAACTAAGGTTTTGCTGGAACCATAGAGCTGAATTTGATGGTTTATTCTAATTGAGTGAACTTAAAAAGGGGACAAATAGAAAAAACCAGATAACGTGAACTAGAGTCTATTGAAAGGTTGCAACCTATCCCAAATTAGAATTAAGTGTTAAATCCCAAAATACGGGTTTTAAAAGAAAAAAAAACCACTTAACCCATTTAATTCCAAAAATCTTAACAAGGGGTCACCAAATGTAAATTTGTGTTGTGTGTTTATTGTTCGTGTATTGTCTACTTACTATTACAAATAATAAGCCGGCAGTTTAATTCTGGTCTGTGGTCTCTTTCTTCTTTTAATTTTACTTAAATCCTAAATTTGCTCCAGTAGTCGAACCTACCTGATCCATACTGGTCCAACCCTTAGTTCAAATAACTATTTCCCCTGTAATCGCCTACACAGGAGTGTTACACTATTCATGGATAAAAAATCGTGATAAAATCAAAATCGTGATATTCTATTTTTGCCATATCGCCCAGCCCTACTCCTAAGTTTAAATGGTCCTGGCATTATCCTGTTACACAATAACATCAATGCAATCTTATGTGTTCAACAGTGATGGAGACACCGAAGCTTTCCAAACCAGGCTTTCTGCTATGTGTATTTGGCCGTGGCATGCACGGTTACAGGTGAAATGTACGATTTACCTGCCTCATACATTTGAGTTCCCTCTGAGTCCCAAGGCAGCTGTGGCTACATTGTAGCTCATCAAAATCAGTGAGTGGATGCGTGTGTGAATGGCTGAATGATACGCTGTAGTGTAAAGCGCTTTGGAGTCCTCTGACTTGAAACAATAAATTATGTGTAATATTACTGTAGCTTTTGGTTTTGTCAGCACATAATTTACAGTTCAGAGTCAAATTAAACCACTCTTAAGGCTGAGTTCTCAGTGAGCAACACTATTTGCAAACTGCAATATTCTGAAAGTTAAGATACACTAATGTACAGGAAAAAAACAAGCGTTCATCAGACGTACTTTGCCCTTGGACCAGCCCATTCGCTCCAGCATTTTCTGACCGAATTTCGAGTCGTCATTACTCCAGGCGCTGTTCCTGGGATCGACTGACCACTTCTGTTTCCTGCGGGCTAAAACAATGCAACAGCATTATATGAAACTACAGCACCATGTTTACAAGCAAGAGAATTGATGAGCAAACACGCAATTAAATACAACAATAATTCAGTCACGAACAATGCATTAGATCATAAATGACCTGAAGACGAGTCACAAAAACTCGGATTTAAGGCCGACACGCGCTACCGTCACTAACCGCTGACAAGCTAATGCTAACTACCCAGATACTTATAAGAAACTTGACATAAAAACAAGATACGCTAGCGTAATAATGCAACGTATTTGTTTGTGGGCTTTTACAGCGATATATTATATAATAAATTATTTGTAACACAAAGAAACAACGAAACATTTAACACATTTGTGAGGAAATGCTACTCACGTTCAGCGAGCATGGACATCCTGGGGTCCTTGCTCAAGTCAACGCAAACAATGAGGATTCTTGAATAATGCCTGAACACAATGCTGTTACAAGCTGTTCTTTTATTATTTATATCTTATTATTACGCCAGTATTACGCTTCAAGCACTATCACGTGACCACAATCGATATTGAAAATAAAAAATAAAAAGTATGCGTGAGTACTTTTTTGTTTTGTCAGAATTTAGTAATTACTGCCAAAGCACCCATTATTTTCTCCAATAGAGGGAGCACCAACCTAAGGGTTCGCACTTAGGCACGAACGTGTAATGACTTTTAGAATAAATGCAAATACTCCCATAAGTAATCATTCTAATTTTTAACAACTATGATTTATTATGTGTATTTGAAGTGAATGTGGACTGACTTGTTACAAATGAGCTGCTGATTTCGATCTGTTGGATACCAATCAATAAAGTTGTCTGACTGATGAAGTAATAACTATTTCCAAATAGTGTCAAATTCATGGGAAAGAAAAAAATCTAAATTCTTCTTGGAAGTGAGAAAGGCAGTGATGTGTCAAAATCCAGCATTGGAATGACTCAGATAACATTGCTGCAACAATCTTGAAATATTTGGTAATAGCCCAAAACAGGCTCTTGGTTCTTTTGAAAATCTGTAAAAACTAATAAGTCGGTGCACATCCACAGATTGAACCAACACATCATTTTAGTACTGGATATGATGAAATTGATCACACGACGCGAGTCAGTTCTGTTCTGGAGATTGGGCCATTTTTTCAATATTTACAGACCAATGTCTAGACTGTGTTCTGGCGAAGGTTAAAGATTTCTTAGACACAAATGGTATTTTGGCACCATATCTGTCAAGCAGGCTTTCACAAATAGCACAGCACCACTTCTGTTAAAGGTAGTTAAAGATATAACTGTGGCTCAGACCGTAAAAAGTACAGTTGCACCTATCTAGCTCTTTTTCTTCCTTCTACCAAAATGTGTACCCCAGGGCTCCATACTTGCACGCTTTTCATCAATAACGTTTTGTTTCAATTGTTGCTCTTCACTGGTATACTGATGACATTGCTATTTACTTATTCACCATTATTTAAACTCTGGACTTTCTAAACGCAGCATTTGGGGTAGTGCAGCGTAAATTTAGTACTGAATGGTGTGATATCCAAATGCAACCAAAGGGTTAAAATGAAGGCTACTGGACTCCTTTGGTTTCTTGAAGACATTTCACTTCTCGCCTGAGGAGCTTTTTCAATTCCAACTGGGAGAGTCAAGCTTAAAAGTTGTAGCTGCCTATTGTTATTTAACGAGCTGAAACTACTCTGAGTACCCCGCCTCTCCATCCCCAGATGAGTCATTGGCCTCTATTGAGAGAGAGTCATTATGCTGATTAGATGCAGGAAGGTGTGACCTAGACTGTAACTGCTTAGGAATGAGATTTAAAGCTGTATTATAGGCAGAGGTGTGACCAAGTCACTGCTTTGCAAGTCACAAGAAAGTCACAAGTCTTTCCAGTCAAGTCTCGAGTCAAGTCCAAGTAAAAGACAACCAAGTCCAAGTCGAGTCCAAAGTCAATGATGTGAAAGTCCAAGTTCTTAACTTTGAATTTTCAAGTCATAATCAAGTCATCTGTCCAACTTCAGTTTAATGACGATGATAATAAATAAATTCCAGAAATAAAGCTTCTTAAAGTTTCATTTATTTGCTGAAACAAGCAGAAATAACTGAAACTGATTATAAACAAAGAGCTGCTGCAGTTAGCAGAACAAGATCAAACCCAGAACGAAGAATGATTTATGATTTTTGTTCATGTCATGCAATTTTTGTGCTAAAATATCAAATATGCTCAAGTTATCATCAAGTCAACAGATGCAAGTCGATTCAAGTCGCAAGTCATTGGTGTTCAAGTCCGAGTCATAAGTCTTTATAGATTTTATCAAGTCAAGTCAGAAGTCATTAAAATAATGACTCAAGTCCAAGTCATGTGACTCGAGTCCACACCTCTGAATATAGGTACTGGAAAGCAGTGTTGGGAGTAATGCGGTACAGAAGTAATTAATTACTGTAATGCATTGCTTTTTGTTGTAATGTGGTAATGTAAGGCATTACAGGGGGAAAAATGGTAATATTTACTCGGTACAATTGTCAGTAACGCAGTAATTACAATGCATTTTAAACCCAGAATCAAGATGCGTTTCTTAAAAATTCAAATTGCGGGAAACCCGAAAAAAGATCCAGTATCTGCATATATGACGTCATTTATGGACTCAGCTTTGCAGGCAGCGGTACCGGCCGGCTCAAATACTCCAGCTGCGTCCTCCACGCGGCCGCTGTAACATTCACAAAATCGCTCCACTAAAACAAAATAGTTCACCTGCGATCGTTCATATCAGCGCATGTTCTCTGTACTTTTCTGACGTGCTTTGCCTCATCTGAGTTAATCTGGGCCCCGGTGATTTTAACTCATTGCTGCTGGAGCGCCGCGCATGTGAAGATCCCTTTGGCTGATAGAAAGTAGGAAGTCTAGGAAACAGTTTTTTCTGGAAGACGGAGAAATGTACAGTATATGTACAGTCTATGGAGAAACATGCAGCATGCAGGAATTAGAGAGAGAGAGGGCAGGAAATTATTCAAATAAAATCAAGAAAACAAGACAAAGGGCTTGAAAAGACAAAAAGTAGGTAGATTTATCCCCAATACACATTTTACCAGTGAAAAGCAATAATATATAAGCATTCATTATTTATACATGTGATAGAATCAGATCAACCCAGAAGCCAGTCCCACACCCAGGGCCGTATCAAGGCATTTGGGGACCAAGGCTAAATAGACTTGGAGCCCCCACCACCTCACTCCCTGCTCAGTTAATCTAAGATGGCAGCATGCTGAGAGTACAGATTGTTGTTGCTTTTATTTCATAAACAATCCTTCTAAAGATCTGTTTTTAACAGCAATCCTATAGCTCAGACACCACATCACCTTCCACCGGATGTGTCATGAGTTCACCAGGCATCAGATTCATACTGAAGTTGTTTTGTTGAAAGTAACTTAGAGTAATGCAAAAGTAGTGTAATGCCTTACATTTTAAAATCAGTAATATTGTAATGTAATGAATTACTTTAAAATGAGGGTAACAAGTAATAAATAATGTATTACAGTTTTGAAGTAACTTGCCCAACACTGCTGGAAAGGTGAAATCTAAGCTCCCACTCCTATTTCAAGAGCCAATAATGCATTTAATTTGAATAATCTTTTGAAGGAAGATTACAAATTTGAATGAATGAATGAATGAATGAATGAATGAATGTGTGGGAGCCATTTTAACTGAAGGTGTAGTTATTGGTTTTTACACTAGATGGAGGCAAACCCACTGAACTTTTGAACAAGTCACTGTCTCCACCTCTTTAATCATGGTGCACATGGGCACAGGTGTGTTGGATGGAGACAGGGGCAAACAGTTTTGGGCTGTGCTGAAGCAGGTTAGATTATGTTGGAGCTTACAGAAAGAATTGATTGACTATGGGAACAAATGTCAGATGGAGCTGTAAGAAAATAAAAGAACAACATTTTATTTCACCCCACGCGTCAACTGGTCTGTCCTCTTCCATCACCTGTGGTGGATGGGTTTCGTTTGGAGAAACTTTGGCCCCACAGAATGAATGAATGAATGAATGAATGAATTGATTTCTTTCAGTGATTTTAAAACACGTTAATGAGCATGAGAAGACGACTCTGTGCGACTGTAACTGCTTTGCTGACGGAATCATCCCGACTCGTTGGGTTTAAAGATTTGTACCGGTGGATTGCTTTTATCTGTCATTGTAACAAGTCACTGCGTTTAATTCTCTGTATGGTCCATTGGATGACTCGTGATACAGACCCTTAAAATACCCTGATGCGAAGTTTTTTTTGTTTTGTTGCCAAGCTATCTGCTGTTTTTACTGCCATTCTTTGTGATGCCTTTTTTTATTCTTGAATATTAACACCACTGAGTTAAGTGGCTTCATAAATGACAAACATGTTGTCAGGGTAGTTTCTTGTAGAGCCCTGCACTGAAGGCCTAGGCCTTCGGGCCGGGCCGGACACGGGCTCAGATTTTAGGCCCGTGCAGGGCTCTAGTTTCTTGGTCCAAAGTAAACAGCTGCATTGAACGTCAGAGTTGCTCTTATGTAACTGACAACCACAGAAACAGAAGCCAACTTACAGTAAGGGAGTGGCGTAACCGGTTTGTTGCCTAAGTCTCACTGATAGCTGTAATACGATGGTTGAAACAGCATTTTTAAAATTCGGAACTGTGACTAAGTTTTAGACAGTTTATAAATCACTTATGGTTCCAGTAGCTTTGGAGTCCGTATTATGAGCTGCTTTGTTTCCGTATGAATGTAGACAAACACTTTTGGTCTTTAAGTTACGTAGTAAATCATTTGTTGAATGACTCAAACCTTTATTTACAATAAAAGCTCAGTCTTCCCTTGAGGACAATTGTGGACAATTTTGGTGCGCTCAAAGCAGGAAGCGGATGTATTTAATGCTGAATTCTTTCAGAGATTGTAAAGAAGAACTGTGTTCTGCAGAAAGGAACTGGCTGACTCTCATCACTTGGTTTTGTTGCCTGAAGTAAAAGAAAACAACACTCTCATGGATGGAAAATATTTCATTATGTAATGTTTTAATTAAATGTCACATCAAACAAATATTTAAATATTGTGGCATTTTTTCATAAAGCAGCATATTTTTCTGTTGTAGTGCATCATAACTGTTTCAAGATCCATTTTTACTATTTTAACTCCCGCCCTGCCCTGAATACATGAGTACTATAACTTAAACAGCAGTTTAAACCTTTATTATATCACCTTCTTTCAAGTTTGCACGTAACCAAGTATTCCCTTTCCCATTGGCTGTTCCAACACCAGATCCCACTTTTAGGTATTTCTTAGCTGAATTGTGTGAAACCCTAATCTGATGTTTAACCCTCTCAGGCTCAAAATAAGTTTTGATAAAAGGAAAAACAACTGAGTCCTTCAGGGAAACTTCTGAGTTAAAAAATGCTCATGAAACACGTGTGTGGAGTAACCAGGTAGGTTTTAACTGTTGCA